TCTTTGCTAACTCTTTCTTTGACTAATTCTTTCCCTCACTAACTCTTTCTTTGACTAACTCTTTCCCTGACTAACTGTTTCTTTGCTAACTCTTTCTTTGACTAATTCTTTTCCTCACTATCTCTTTCTTTGACTAACTCTTTTCCCTGACTGACTCTTTCTTTGACTAACTCTTTCCCTGACTAACTGTTTCTTTGACTAACTCTTTCCCTCACTAACTCTTTCCCTGACGAACTCTTTCTTTGCTAACTCTTTCTTTGACTAACTTTTTCCCTGACATTTTCCCTGACTAATTCTTTCTTTGACTAACTCTTTCCCTGACTAACTGTTTCTTTGCTAACTCTTTCTTTGACTAACTGTTTCCCTCACTAATTCTTTCTTTGACTAACTCTTTCCCTGACTAACTCTTTCTTTGACTAACTCTTTCTTTGCTAACTCTTTCTTTGACTAATTTTTCCCTGACATTCTAAAAATCCGTAACACGGAAATTTCTCCCCCTAAATTTCCTTTGATAAACAATATAGATAATATAATTAATATAAACAATATAAATAATATACATAATAAATAATATAATCATATTAATAATATAAATATTATAAATAATATAAATAATATAAATATTATAAATACTATAAATAATATAAATAATATAAATAATATAAATAATATAAATAATATAAACAATATAATTAATATAAATAATATACATAATATAAATAATATAAATAATATAAATAATATAAATAATATAAATAATATAAATAATACAAACAATATAAATAATATAAATAATATAAATAATATAAATAATATAAATAATATAAATAATATAAATAATGCAAATAAAATAAATAATATAAATAATAAAAATAATATAAACAATATAAATAATATAAATAATTTAAATATTATAAATAATTAAAACACATAAATTAATATCATAATTATTATTTATTTTAATATTTATTAAACAAATAAATTGTATTTTTATTTCTCCACCTACCAGGTGAGATTTATTAAATTTTATCGTAGTTGTTCTTTTTCTCCTCTTCTTTCTTTTTCCTCTTCGTCGTTTTCCTTCACCACCTCTGTCTCCATTTCCATGTCCACTTCCGTCTTGCCAACTTTTCGCCAAGCTCTTCGCCAACTTCCGCACGCAATGGACACTGCTGGACCTCAAGTATAAGGGTCTGAGTTCACTGGGCATCGCTGGACCTCAATCTAGGACCTTCCGAATTCAGTAAGTATTATTGGACCTCAACCTGGGATCATCTGAGCTCAGTGACCACCGCTAGACCTCAACCTGGGGACCCTCCGAACTCACTGAGCACCGATGAACCTCAACCTAGGACCCGCCGAGCTCAGTGAGCACGACTGGACCTCAATCTAGGATCTTCCTAGCTCAATAAGCACTACTAAATCTCAACATACAGATTATGCCAAATGGTATGTCAGATAAAATACCAAAATCTTTATTAAATAAAATACCAAAAAAACATATCAAATAAAATATCAAATAATATATTAAAAGATATGCCAGAAAATATACCAAATAGAATATCAGAAAATATACCAAATAAAATATCAAATAAAATACCAACAAATATATCAAATAAAATGCCAGAATGTTTACTAAATAAAATAAGAAAACAATTATTAAATAAAATACCAAATAAAATATAAAAAAATAAATTAAAATATATACCATATAAAATATCAATAAATATGCCAAATAAAATACCAAAAAAAATATCAAACAAAATATAAAAATCAAATTAATACATAATATAATAAATATCTTATAAAATAACATATTTATTTTATTTTAATATTATTTATTTATTAATTTTTATTTTTAATCAAATTAATTAATATTAATTTATTATAAAATAAATTTATCTAAATTTTAAAAATATATTTTTTATTATTCCATAATTTATTTATTTAATTTTAATTTAAAAGAATAATAAATAAATATTAAATTCCAAATATATTTAATTTATAATATTTTATTTGTTTTTTTAAAATATATTTATTAATTATTATTATATTAAAATATTTAAATTTAATATTAATTAATACTAATTAAATTTTATAAAAATTATCGATTCCTATTAATAAAATGATTTTTCCATATTTAATTTTTTTAATTTTTTTCTTTAAATATTTTTGTCAATTGTTAGTTTTATATCTTAATTAAAAAAAATATATATATGAGGAAAGGGAAAAAGAAACATAATAATAAAAGAAAAGACATAAAAGAAGAAAAATGAAAGAATTCGGAAGCATATTGTGGACGCTGCATCTATGCAGTCATTGTTTTAGGTTATTTTGAATGATTTTGTTGAAAAACACAATGGGACGCAAGTTTCACCACAATTACAGTCAAAGCGAAGCTACCAACCAAAGGGTGCAAGGACGGATGCAATATGATGCAATCCAAACAAACAGACAGTCATGACTGGCACGCGCCGAGCAAGCATATTAGCGCATCGCCCTGCTCTCATGCCTGACAAGGCGAGTGTTGGCCGTTGGCCTCAAGCACGCAGGGCTGTTGCCACCCCGATCGCCCGGCCAGTGACGACTGTTGCGTGTGCCCTTGTGGCGCACGCAGCTCGGTAGTGGGAAGGTAAGCAGCAGCAACAGCAGCAGGAACAGCAGAACCAGCAGCAGTAGCAGCAGCAGGGACAAGACAAAACAAGGCAAGACAAGGCAAGACAAAGCAATACAACTCACGTATTTCCGGCGATACTCTGGCGATACCCTAAAATGGAAAAAAAGAACCCCTCGCCACCAATCCCCCTCATCATTTCAACACAACCACATCTCCAAATTTCAAAGTGACAAAACCCAATGCGATCAAATTCCCCATGGTACTGAAACAATAGGTAAATTCCAAACTTGCAAAAACGCAGGTAAAAGTATCAATAATCAAAATCATGTTTTCCAAACACAAGCTGGACGCAGCACGCATCGACTTCCACAATTCTTTCCCCCCACATGTGAACGCATTGACTTTCCAAGCGGAGAGTATGTGTTCCTTTTTTCTGGAAATGGCTGCAATCATCAAAAAAGGAGTGTAGCGACCACCTACAAGTACCAGGCACCTTCCTTGTGCAGAATCTGCGCCATTACGACAACAAACAATGAAAGGAAGAGACCAAAAGCACTAAATAGCCGCAGAATGATGGAAAAATGACGAACTTTGGCATTTGGATTTCAAGAGTCTGGACACGTATCATTAACATAACCAACGTTATCGTTTTTTTCTTCCTCTTATCGTTTTTTCGAGTGAAAGCTAAAAATGGCTCATGGGGGATCATGGAAGACTAAACGAATAGGCGCGGGGTTTTTACGAGCTCTCAAATGATATTATATATATACACCATCTGGTTATTTAACATAGCCCTGGAAAATCACAATTTTTAATAGGTAAACCATCTATTTCTATGGGCCATTTTCCATGGCTATGAGAGAAAACCAGAGGGTACGTTATTCAGCGAAGCTTTTCCACCGTTTCCTCCCCGCCATGATCTTCCGCGGACTGGGAGTGGCTTCCAGGATGTCGCCGGCCATCTTTTCCGTGATCCTCACCAAATTGGAAGGTTTCTGATTCATATAATATATTAGTTCTAAAGGGTACAGCCTGACATATTTTGATATTATATTATATTTACAAATTAAATATATTCGGGTTTCTATATGTAGATTTTCTCCGATTTTTTTCACCCTGAAGCTTCCTGAAGCTTCGAGTCCTCCTCATTGCAAAGGTGCATAACAAGGCCCCTGCAGCGGGAAAAAGTCACGCGCGTAGTGGCGTAGTGGTTGGGGTTTTCGAATTTTCGATGCAGGAAAAATCGATACCAATGACATTCACATGTCAAGACCCTAAAAGTTCGCATGTTTTGACGGCATTCCACTCCCAGTCCATCTTTTGTGAGATCGTAGTGCGCTTGTAATTCACCCAGATTGATATTACTCTTTTGAAATCTGAAGGAACCTCAAAACATCAGGTCTACAAAATGATGTCCCTCTTCAAAAAGTCCTTAAAATATCATAAAACATATCTAGGCTTCACTGACTTCACCCTAAGTTCTGATGGCTCATACATTTTGGGCTAGAAAACTCTTGGCAGTCCAATGAGATCCTCCTGGAAAAAGACATGTCTTTGAATTGCATTTCTTCACTTTTGGACAAACTATGTTTTAGATTTTTTGGCTGTATATATCCAATTAGATCTATTTTATTTATATTCACATTATTTTCACCTTAATTATAAGTATTCTCATTGTCATTCCCATGACTTTACCATATTCTGTTACTTATGTATCCCAATTTTTCCTATAATGTCAATTTTGGCCAAAACATGATGGCTTCTATGATTCAAGCCATCCAAGCCTCGAAGTCTTCGGAAAGCTCCCTGGCTTCCCTGCGAAATCTGCGAACGTTTTTGCTGCTGATAGAAATCAACATGTTGGGAACAAATCTTGAAACAGGGAGCCATATCTACCCATGGCTATGGTCAAATCAATGCCGTTGGTCTTTAACACCCAAGCTTTATGTTCAAAACCACCAAATCCACCAAAAAAAAACGGTTCTTCAAAAGCGGCTGTTGGTACAACGATGACACCCATCCGCCTCGCTGAGGCCAAACCTGACTTTCCTGCTGCGGAAAAATCTCCCAGGTGAAATTGGGGTATTCCTCATTTTGGACATCTCCAAACTTTTTTGCCTACCCCTGCACCATGTGTATCCGTGCTGAAAAATGAGGATGAGCATTCATGAGCTTTCCGTGCACCTTTGGATGGACATGGTGATGTTTCACGCTACCAACGGATCGTGGCACTTGAACCCAACCAGAGGCCTTCTGAATCTGAACAATAGATACACGTGGCCTTAAACCAGACTGTGGTCAAAATAGGAAGGTAAATTCTGTAGTAGGATTTCTGAAATAAGAACTTAATGACCAACATAATTCCACAAATCAATCTGAATGAAACAAAAATCATCCTCCTAGTCTGAAAATAGGGTATCCCGAAGTTCACTCGTTAATCATCATTTTTACTTTCCCCATGACATTACAATTATATGGATATACCAGATTTCCAGACAGACCCACCAAATTTTTGCATATTTGAAACCACCAAGCCAGGAGATGTTGCCACAGGACCTGCAGGACCCGCTATGGCCACAGCCAGCAGAGTAGTCACCAGAATACCCACTGCCAGGGTCAGGAAAAGAGCCTGCGTCACTAGGCATTGCCATTTGGATGCTTCAATTGGGATGGACATGTGTGGGGGAAATGATGGCAAGAAGATTGTAAAAGATGGATGTACAATAACATCTTAAATAACTTAACTAATTAATACATTTTTTTGCTGGAAGAATATAGACAGTCAGTTATCATCATTTATCAATGGACGGTTTTGCAGGGCATCTGTGACAGCGGGGAGATCTGCGGATGGAGTACTTAGCGATCCTAGCGAACAAGCATCAATGTCAGTGGGGTGATACGGAGGCCGGGGTTTCTGCAGGGCCCTGCTTTGGGAAGGTATAGGTCTGGCGGCAGCATAGAATTTGGATGAGTACTTGGCATTGCAACCAAATAGACCAGTGGGCCTGTAGGAAAATAATGTACAGATCTTATTTTCAGACCAATCACATTCTCAAGCACTTCATTCTGCTTGTTCCATCATGTTCCATCTTCTTGCAATGCTCCACACACATACAATCGGTTGGGTTTGCGAAAATATATCACGATCGGTTGAAATCTTGGGGGACCAATTCCCTGTCTTTGGGATTCTTTGGGGGGACGTTTGCGACGTCTTCAACCTGCCAAAAGTCGAGTCAATCTCCATCACCGTCCCATTTTCTTGGGACAAGACACCTTTGAAGCCACCAACCAATAATATCCAATAATGGCATATATTGATATATTAGGACATTTTGGTGAAGAATGGTGAAGATATATCCGATTTTTCACGATCTTCCCTATTTTGTTTGTCAAAGCCGAATCCTTTTTGCAACACCTCCCTCGCTCTGCCTCACTGAGAGGGAAGGTCGTGAGGATCAGCGCCATGTTGCACGCCTTAGCGACTCGGGACAGGTCGGTCCATGGCGTTCAAAAACATCACCGGAAAAATAGTGATTGCATGAGATTCAATAGGGACTTTATAGGGATTTCATGGGATTTACCCTCCGGTATTCAATCATAGAGAACATCCACCATAGATGGGCATGAGAAAAGTCATCAGTTTTTGGATGTTCCATTGCTATGTTTGATTACCAGAGGGTATTGTTCTACAACAATTTTGGGATTTCGATGGGAGCCGAAATTGGATGAAACTGGCACATCCAGTTTGCGCCTGCAGTTGGATCAAGTTTTGGTGACAGACAGCGCATATGTCTTTCTGACAGAGCACATCTGGAAAAAAAAAACCCTCTGGTAATCTAAAATAGCTATTGAACATGGCCATAGAAATAGTGGATTTACCCATTGAAAATGGTGGATCTTTCCATAGTTATGTGACAGTTTACCAGAGGGTATTTTCCAAACTAATCCCACCCCCCTAGCATTAAATACGCCGATTGTTGAAACCCAACGGTAAAGTGTGCAGTATTGGATCGTTTTTCATGATGCTAAAGGAACCAACGGTAGTGTTTGATATATTATATTATATTGAATATTGGTTATGTATCCCCATGTCCGGATCATTCCGGATCGTTAAACCATGTAACAAGCACATGTTTTTGATAGGTCTACTCCTGTTTTGGTATGATTAAAGCATGTTAAACCACCAATTTTGTATGCTTCAGCCGCCATATTTGATGCTGCACGCAGTGATATGGTGTACGCGACCGCGGCCAAGCTGCCGCCAGAGTCAGGGTGATGCGGCCGTTCAAGGGATGCGCCAAGTGCCGGATCTTACCCACCTGGCGCCAAGGCCTGGGGTCTACTCTGGACCTAAAGCAACCCCCGGATAGAAACATGGCATCAGGGGTATGGATCAAAATTGAGGACTCGGGGGACCACAGATTGAAGGGTCGATTTCTAGTATTTTAGTATTTCGATCTTTTGAGGGTTAATATAGTTATATACTAAGTACAATTTGATGGGAAGAACATGAAACAATGCGCCAGTTGGGGTCCCAAAACCATATAGGATATGATGTGTCTTTCCCGCAGTTCTTTTTCCGTCCCTGGCTTTTCAGCTGATTTGTGACCACAGATCCAGCTACTATAAACGGGAGAATGCCAGTCAGTGGACTTGCCAACAAGAATGCTGAATCGCTTGCGGGCGGTCCCCCATCGTCACAAGAGACTAGACCATTCGATCAGAGGTACGGGATCTCCAACTTGTCCATTTGACATCCTTCTGTCATCTAAGCTACATCGGGAAGAAGATTTGCGATGAGCCTACTCTCTACTGGTGATCTACTCTCTACTGGTGATCTAACATGGCTTGAAGAAAAAGAATTGGCTGAAGAACCTAATTTATGGATGACCATAAATGCCATGAATATTCCATCTGATGGGGATTTCCACTTCACTATCAAAGCATTGAGGTCTTGTTGCTCCAACCCCTAACAAGACTGGGAGTTCCTACAGGTTTCGTTCTATATAATTGATATCAATGGTGACCCCCCAAAAAAGATTAAGACTTAACAGCAGCTGGATATTTACATTTTAGGATTAGACGGCTCACTTTTCGGCATCTCCTTTAAGGGGTAGCTGAGTAATCCCCAACGCCAATCGGCGCCGAAGATCTCCCTGGTGAAGTGTATTGGGGAAATCCCCGAGCCCCACCTGAAGGCCCAGGAACTTGTTCCAACCTTGGAAGCCCTGCAGCTGCGAATTAGGTCAATGGCTGGGGAATTCCACCCCAACAAAAATGATATTTACCCTCTGGCTATTTAACATAGCTATGGAAAATCACTACGTTTTATTTAATACGCAAATCATCATAAATCATCTATAACTGGGCCATTTTCTATAGCTATATATGTACGTTATGTTGAACAACCAGAGGGTAAACGGGGGTGTCAATCAGATTTTCAGGATATTTTGAAGAATTGTCAGGTTCGACTAACAAAGAAAATCACCTAGGATAGTTAAGAAATGTTAAGAACTATTTAACTCAACTTCCAAGGACCAAAAAGATACCAAGGATAAAATCATTCACATTCATAGCTTTCACACTTTTCTAGGGGAATCGATGGCAAGCGCCTGTAATAGTCTTCTCCTTCTCTCTCTGGCCCGATGATCCCGATGCGGCCTGTAACAGCATGAGAGCCAGAACAATGTAGCTGAACAAGGCATGTACTGTCCTGGGCGATGGTTTCAATCGTCTTGTGGCTGTCATGTTTTTTTGATTTCAGTGGCATCGTGCCATTTTTGCGCACATCTCAAAGTTTGCAGGGGAAAAAAATGGCTGATTTTCCATTGGTCAACTATATACCTCTTTCCTGTTTTCAACCCCGAAACATATATGACTCATTGCAGAACACGATCCCAAGAATGGATACAAACAAATGGACAAAAAAGTCTGAAATAGTCTGGATGACTGGGCTCCTTTAGACAAACATCTACAGTAAACCAATGAAATTTACCATCTCCAAATCATGGTTAGTCTTAGATACCAAATAAAACCAAATCCTTGGCTGGTTTGCAAATATTTCAACATATTATATATATATATATCCATTTGTTTGGAAGACATGTCGAAATTCACCAATCTAAGAAGTTCGGCTATTTTGGAATAGTTACCCCAATCCACTTCCCATCATTCCAACCACATCGCAGGGTTCGGCCTTCATCAATCCAGATGTTATGTCGTTTTTGAGACGAAAGTAGAAGTAATCCTTTTTCCCCTGACATTTGAAATATTTTTCATAAACCATATGGGGATATCTGGGGATGGGTACCCTGAAAAATCAAAAACAAATCTATCAGCTATTGATCCATAGCATTCCATAGCCATATATTAAGCATCCCCTAATACGTAGAACGCTCAGTTCTCAGAGTTCCCAGAGGCCGAGCATCTTCGCCGCTGGGTTGCCGGGATCAAAGCCGAACTGCGATCCGCCTGCCATCTGTGGCATCTGCGGCATCTTGATCAAATATTTAGGCAATTTGGAGTACAGGATGGTGCCCCCCAGTGATGTTAGTTGGTTAACAAAATCCCCAGGAATACTATAGTTGTATCTGCCATAAACCATAGTTTAATGGGAGTTATAAACCAACCCAACTTAGCTAACTATGGGGCACCACCTTGTATGTAAATTGCGTTCATCAAATTGTCTTGGCACCCGATCTTTCTTGGAAAAAAAAATACACCAATGTACTGCTCTCAGCCTTGCGACTGGCCGAATAACCAGTTTACCAAAAAAGTGTCCTTTTGAATCCAACGTCTTAAACGGGACGGCAAACATAATGCACATATAACTTTTGAGGTGTGACTAGAGTATACATGTCAAATTTAGCTGACATATAACTACATAATAAACATGTCTGACATAGTTTGAAACCATCCGCAATCTCATTTTTCACATCGAAGCGATGTAGCCCCATGGAAAGTAACTTATTTTTTGTAATTTATATGTGACTGTTTTCGGCTACCCCATGCCCAGATACAAATCAAGTCACGTCCCACTAAGTATTTCAGGACCAAAATATACCAAAATAAAATTCATTCACCCTACACAAATCGAATGGGAAGAATGGGAACCTTCCCTTGTTGTGGATGTGCAATATTCTTGATTCCCATATGAGCCATGAAAAATATTCCTATTCCATCCCATTATACTGGTTGGTGAATAGTTATCCCTATTATGGTTTATTTATTATAATCCCCATTAAACCAAATAATCAGATCCCCATTTCATAACCTACCAACTATGGTATTTTTAATGACTCATATCACCTTATACAATGTTACACAACATGGTGGATGATCTATCCCTTGTTGGCCGCCTACAAGCCGGTGATTGCTGAAGATGCATACGTAGCCAACCTGGAAGCTGCTGTCTCAAATGGGAATACCCTATATGAAGGACAAATATGATAGGGAAACGTATGATAAACCATGGAATTTTATGGGATTCCAACTATATTGAGGCATACTGGTTTCATGGTTGCTGCGTAGCTGTGACAAATCCTGAACACAAATTGGCAACAATTGAGACATCAACCCCTGAAGAGAAACGAGCGGTAACCAGTCGATACCATAATCCTTCAATTTAGGGCTTAGCCACCCATATCTTTTTTTGCACCGCAAAGCGTTTCATTGCTTGGACATAGAGATAGACAAAGGCATGATCTTGTTCATGATTGAAACCTGATATGATCATCAGCAACTTGTTATATGTAAGGTAACAATAGTCTGGTCTTTGTGTATAAAACTATATAAAACTCATCAGCAACTCCCAAATGCCATCGTGTGCCATCTCTGATAGGTCTGGCTCGTTCTGAGAAATCTTCCAATCTGAAGTAATGCCCCATCTTGCTCATAGAAAATTGATTTTGATGATGTTTCTGTGATGTAAACCCATCCAACATCATCCGACATCAGTCCGACATCTCTGCCGTTTAGCCTGTTTAGCCAAGTTATAAACCATAGCTATCATAACTGATTGGTGGTTGACCTACCCCTCTGAAAAAAACAATGGAGTTCATCAGTTGGGATGATGATTTCATTCCATTCATTCCACTCCCAAGTCTTTCTGGAAAGTCATACCCTCTGGTAAACTAACATAGCTATGGAAAATGAACCATTTATAGTTGATTTACCTATTATGAATGGTGATTTTCCATAGCTATGTTAGTTTACCAGAGGGTAATCCAGCCATGTTCCAGTCACCACCAATCAGAATAATAGACCATGAATCCCAGCCAGATATTTGGCTGGCGCCTGGCCCTCTGGGGACGATCCTCTGATTTTTCGCTGGAAGGCGTTCCGAAGTTTCTATGGTGACTCCATTATTTTTTATGGGGTTTATGGAGGTATCCCAGAGGTATCCCAGAGGATTCATGGGTTTCTGGGAGACCTTAGGGAAGATCCTATCATTTTTGGGGTACCTCCAAATCATCCAAGTTATATCCGACCAGTACTTAGTACTGAGTCATCTATGGTTTCTATGGTGACTTGGGGATCCCCCATGGCTTCAAAAAAAAAGGTATCATTCTATCCTATCCCATCATGTCCATTGTATCCCATTAAATCACCCTTATAATAATTATATCCACCATTTTAAGAAGGCTTAAGAAGTTGGTTTATAATCCCATCTAACTATGGAATACTATAGATATATCCCCCTGATCAACCCTAATCAAAGCTATGGCTTTTAAGAACCCACTAAGTTCCTCCCAGTCACCAGTCAGTCACCAATCCCAGCAACCACTGCCGCCAAAATCGCGGCACTTTGGATCGCAGCGTGCACCGAGCGTGTCGAGTCTCTGCTCCTTGGGTCAGTCATCCCGAACCCCAAATGGGAAAAGGATACTTAGCTAACCAACGAAATGGGACTTGAACCACTTTTTCCATGAGGATATTGACCAACAACATCAAATATAGCTAGGATGCAGCGAAGTTGTTGATGTCAAGATGGGGATTCGAAGAGTTCTTCGATGGCTGAAAATGATGGGAATTCATCCTCTGAATCTGGATGTAAAAAGTAAAAAATGGCTTTAAGAGCCGATACTTGTATACGTACCAATCAAAAACAGTAGCCTTGGACATGGCTACTGTCAATCGATGTTAGTTTTCTGGGGAGTACCAATGGCATCTCGAAACATCGCCCATTGTCCCACTCCAACCTCATCAATTCATCTCATTTCACACTCAGAATAAGAATAGCAAAAAACATATCATTATAAACGTAAACAAACATAGCTCTAAAATTGTCCCATCCAGTATCATCCAGTAAACAAACGCGCAAACGTAGCGATCTGGAAATCGATGGATGCTTCCCCATCAGAAATGATCGTATCATATCGTATCTGTCTTTGCCCAACCGGCCATGTGGCTTTGCCCAACAAAGTACACCCACATCCAGTGGTTTGTCGTTCTGGTTTTCGTATTAAAGCACCATGAATAGGCGTACATTTTTCGTTTTTGGACAAACCCATTTCACACTCGTACATTTCTTGCTGAGTTTTCTTATCCAATCGTCTCCCGAAAAAAACATGTTTAAAGTTTATAATTACCCTCTGGTAAACTAACATAGCTATTGAAAATGGCCATAGAAATAGTGGATTTACCCATTCAAATGGTGATTTTCCATAGTTTTTTGTATGTTTACCAGAGGGTAATCAGTTTAATCCCCATTTGGTTGGTTATATCAGTTCTATCCATCATTCCCCGTATCTTTGCTGGTGAAATATCCATCCTGTAGAGCCATCAGCCCATCGGTTGCACGCTGTGATCCCGTGCCCGCCGCAGAACTTGGACAGGGCGTAAACCACCTGGGCCATGGCATCCATGGCCATGGGGGCTCTCTAAATCACTGGAGTTGGAAAATCTACTGGAAACCATGGCTTTTCCTGCAGGAAGTATGGAGGTTTCCTGTAATGTCAACCCCGGATGAGACTAAACCATGGTTTATGAAAATTAGGGGGCTACTCCTCCAATAGTCATTTCATCTGATACTTTTTTATGGTAGCCTCCCAATTAAACAGCCGTAAACGGGGTTTATTAATCCAGGGTTGACATTAAAGTTTCCCTTAAACCAATCCACTTGACTAAATTGGAATTATGAATCCTTATGACTTACAGAAACAAATGGATGACCTGTGGACTTAGAGGTATCCATCCCGATGGAGTGGGCGAAAATCAACAACCAATTTTGGGTAAAATGAGTGAAACAAAATCGTTGGGATTTGACATACAATTCACATATCTTTCTGCAATGTGAGGCCCCCGTTCGATAGCTAAGTTGGTGCAAATAACCCCAATAACAATGGTTTATGGTATTTATAACTATAGTTACTGGGGCGAATCTAAACCAACTTATAACGTATTTGATGGATCCTTTGCACCAAAAAGAAATAACGACAGGGGTCACAGGCACCCCGGGTGTTTGGTCACCGCAAAAATTGGAATCCCAGCTCTGGGGATCAAACCAGAGGATCATTGATGGACCGCTAGCAAGTCCTTATACTCTTGTATACTATATATATATAACATCTTACAGTCATATATCTTATAGTTAGATAGATAGATAGATGGATGGATGGATGGATAGATAGATGGATAGATAGATGGATGGATAGATAGATAGAATCTTGATAAACAACACAAGCTTTGGTCGAGTGTCAATTGGCCCTCTCCCGGAATGGAAGGAAAGAGTCCGAGTCTTGACAGCATGTGAGCACTGCCCAAAACCTTTTATTACCCCCAAGAATAGGTCATGCCTCATATGGTTCCGTTCTAGATGATGATAACCCCACTAGACTCACTAGACCAGTTCGAGCATAGCAACCCTCAAGACATAGAAAAGTGATGAACAGGGTTTCAACCCTACTGCAAAAGATGTAAGTTTCTATTCAGGGGTTGCTATAATCCTATTACCCATAGGATCCATGTATGCTATATATGCCAACATTTGGGGTATATTGATGGTAAATGTTACCATATATAGCAGCACCATGGATCCTATGGGTTATAGAATCATCAAACACATAGAGTCAGTTGGGAATGCGAATCTCTCTGAGAACAACCCGCAGCAGGCGCTGCTGGCTTCCGCGTTTCACATGAAGTTATGGAGTCAAGTCGTTGAGACCTGACTGATCCCGATGCATCCTATGGAGTCAAGTCGTTGAGACCTGACTGATCCCGATGCATCCTATGGAGTCAAGTCGTTGAGACCTGACTGATCCCGATGCATCCGATACGGCGATACGGGTACGGGGCAAAACCAAGTGCCCAAAAGGATCTAAAAGTTATGTGGGTGAACATATCCATATAATTATTCGTGTGTGTTTTGTATGTTTTTGACATACAAAACCGGGGTACCAGCGACGTCTTGCGCATGTCCACATAGTTTCAAGATGTCTCAAGAGCTAGTTGTGAGTCTGAGGCGAATCCTTGTGTCTTGAGGTGATCAGTGAGGAGACGATGTATCCCTCGATAGACCCCTTCGTAACGTGAACGGAACAAATGCTGAAGTCATCATCGTCACACTTCCAAATCTTACAGAAAAGTGAGGTATACAAACTCTCAGCCTGCCGGTTCCTAAAGGGAGCTCGTAGCCTGAAAAAAAGGCCAAGTACTATGAATGGGGGGCTTTTTTGCATTGGCATTCGAGGTGATCAACTTTCAGAACCAGGTACAGTTCACTGGTCAACCACTACTCGTATACTACGGTGAGCATTCCTATCCTAACAGTCCGTCGATTTTGGGCGCACTCATACACTCACCATGGTCTTCCAATGAATTTACCCGTCAAGCTGGGGATACTACGCCCATTTCTACACTCCAAGTTTAGCAAATAGTTTAGCGAATAGTTTAGCTAATAGTTTAGCGCTAAATAAAAACACAATTAATTCATGGTTTCCATCCATTTCCATCCACTCCAATGTGCATTGACTCTACATCTTCCACCAGTGAGATCGTTGATCTGTGCCCCATAGGTTGGTTCAAGTCAGCCAGGTGCAATGCAATGGGGCACTCTCCAGCCCGGTTCAAGTCATCCCGTCGTTGTGTGTGAGCATCCACCTTGAATTCAAAGCCGGCCCCACATGGGTTGCGAAAGTCCAACATGGAATGTACAGCCAAGCACAAACCATGCTGATTTCCTGGATGATCAGCATGCAGATGGGCACCTTGTCGAAATTGCGACAAATGACACCATCAAATCAGAGCTATCGGACACATAGTAAGTAGCTAGATTAGGAAATCATGGTAAGATTTCCACAAATCATGTTTTACATTGTTTTACCCTTTTTCTTTGTAGATGTTTTAGTAATATGTATTGATATGTAGTAATCTACTGTACACTTGGAACACCCCCCAGCCACGCCGGGGCACAGAGCCGCTGGTCATCAAGCACCAGCAGCAAAGCATGGCTGCGATATGACCGAAGAAAAGGATGGGCATCGCAGTAAACCTGATCTCTGGCGACGAAGAACTCACGAAAGTAAGGGATACTACCCTCTGGTTATGACTAGCAGTTTGCCATGGAAAGATCCACCCATTTTTAAGTTCGGTAAACCCAGGTAAACCATCTATTTCTATGGGCCATTTATACCATGGCTATGTTAGTCATAACCAGAGGGTAATTATATTTGATAAGGACTGAATCCAGGTATTTCATTGAATCCAACAAAAATAGGGAATTGACCTGAACTGACTTACTTACGATGTTACGTGAGCATTTTTCTCAGCATTTTGCCTGTCAACAGTACTACCGGGATGATGGGGATCAGATATGGGTGTTTTTACCTCATGTCGTCGCTGGCTCAGGGCACCAAGTGTGAAAACATGGGGACTGAATATGATCAGGGGAAATTTAGCAATTTCGCCCACATTTCGATGAGGGATGTGCACCTGCAATTGAAAAACGGACCCTTAAAGTCTTGGGAAGACATTCAGGGGAGCTCATGCTCAATCTGATTCAATCAGCAGTATGGTTCAGGTTCCAACCTAAAGTCTAATGTGGAGTTCACCTTCCCACACCCACACTTCTCTTTTTTGGGTGTTCAAACAATAGTTTTCAGAATGTGTACTCCTGGGTCGGAAGTCATGGGAGAGATGTATAACAGGGGGACATTAGTATCAAGAAATGAAGGGAAAACAACATGGCTATAGACTTCCAATCAACCCTTAAGGTGATATTGTGATCTTGGTTCCTGCGCTTCACATGCTTAGAGGTGCTTGGAATTTCAGGAGTTGTACAAGAAAAAAACGGACAGAAGTGAACCAATGATAACCATAGTGTGAGGGTTAAGACTAGAACACATCACATATTAGCTTGTTTCAGCCTCAAATCAGGACGATTCTTAGTGACTAGTGATAATGTAGCCAATAACTGGCAAATTCAGGTAACACTATGTAAGTGCGCTTTCAACACGGTTTCTTGATGTGTATATATATACACATATGCATACATACATATATACATAATATACCATATACCTTAAAATGTCACCAATCTCACTTAGCAGCTACCTTCTCCGTCGATTCAGAATGAGTTTGAGCGGATGTGATTGACATGATGAAATCATCATCTTGGATAGCGGAGCTGAACAAAGTCCAATTTGTGGTTGCTTAAAAACAATTTTGCAATGGCAATCATGGTTATATATATATATATACATATACAGTATCTATATATATAGTGTATATATATATATACAGTATATATATATACAGTGTGTGTATATATATATACAGAGTATATATATATACACATTTTCGCTGATGATCTTGCCGGTTAAAGAACCAGAGCCATTCATCTTTGCGTACCGATTGCCCAAAAAAAACGGTTTATCATTTGCCCAGTTAAAAATAAGTCATGAAACTGGGTTTCCCCTTTTTTTGGAGGCACACCCATGTGGTTGTCAAGCACATTTCCGACATTAATCCCAAGCTATTATTCCCATGTGTTCAGTGTACGTGGGTTTGTCTGTTAAAATATACATGTTATTATTATAATGTATTGGTTAATCACAATGTTCCCCATAAAAAAATCACAAGAATTGGAGGTTTACCCTATTTTCAGACTTCCCTTGGCACGAGGAACTGCATTCCGCAGAGCACTGCTAAGGCGGCAGCCGCCAGCACCACCAGCGGAGCAGCTGAAGCCAGGGACACCATGGCGAAGCGACGGAGAGTGGCTGATAGGCCACCAAAATGGGAGTTGAAGAACTTTAAGACTTGTAAAACATGGCTTTTCAGTTTTGTTGAGCAAATCCTCAACATGTTTGTTTAGTGATAGGATTAGATCCTGCTTGAAACTGTGGGCTTGAAATTGGTCGGGCCTTGAAATGGGGTTTCAGCATTGGGATACAGGGCCAGTCCACATCGTGATCATCCCGACTTGGGGCGGATGGTCATCCTTTTGATGGCAAGCGCTGCGAAAATGGAAGAAACCATCTCCTGTACCCAACTGTATATACTCTGAAAATCAACTTTCGGGTCCCTTTGAACAAGATCAAAATCACGTTTTCAACAAGCACATCGATTGAAATATGGACAATCAAACACCTACAGCTGAAACTAATTAACGACAACGCAAAGCTTTTTCAATAGGTTCAATTGTTGCCAATCGGTAAGGAAAGAGGTAACACTGTTGGGTTCTTTTTGCTGGACAATGCCTGACAAGGGGGTCGTTCTCGGATTTTGGCCAAAAGAGGCCACTTTCGCACATTCACCTTTTCGGGTTCGATGTGAAGTGAAATCTCTGGCTAATCTCTGGTAACACTTTTAGTTTATCCCACTAAGATTCAGAAGTAGAATCACATATTGGACAGCGGCCCTCTCATTTACTTTCTGTATTCACTGTCTGTGGGTGGACGGATAACCCTATGTGGTGCGTCATTGATTTTCTCTTTGCAACCCTCCAATAACGCCTACGTTCTTTTATTTAGAATTGAAACCCCCAATCGTAAACCCCCGTTGTAATGACTCGTTAATTAGTAAAAAGTTCAGGTGTTTAAGTTCAGTGCTTTTGATGTTTTATTTTTCACCCCACTGCCATTTATACCCCGGTTACCCTCTGGTAAACTAACATAACTATGGAAAATCACCATTTTTAATGGGAAAATCCACTATAAATCACCATTTTCAATAGCTATGTTAAATTACCAGAGAGTACCACCAAAAAGCCACGGGCTTTTTCCGCGAAGCAAGGTGGGCAGCTCCACCTTAGGTGGAGCGTTCACCTGGCGCTGTAATGGGATGATTTTTTGGTCAGAATTGGCGCCCTCGAAATCCTTCCTTATCATGGGATAATGGATATGTAATGGGTATATAAACCATGATAAATTCCAGATTGATGAGGATTGATGACTATTTAACTGACTATCCCCAATGATACAATCCATCTTTTTGACATTTTTGAGCATGGCATATGTGTCCCGGAACAGAACCTTGAAACCGGGTGTTTCCCAGGAACACGAGACAGTTTCACCCAATCGATGGTCCCTAGGAAACTGAAAATGGCATGGGAATCGGGTCAAAGATGATTTGTACTTTATAGTACCCTAGTACTGTGACGTCATAGCCCTAGTAAATGACTAGTAACTTGTATAACTGGGTTTCTAACTTATCTATATAATAAAGTACAAGTTATTTTTGTAAGCATGACATTGCAGATGGTGCGACTCTTCTTCTGACCATCACATACCATGGTAATTAGCCACTTCGCCATACTTGTTTGACATTTCTATGGCCTTTTTGGTGCACAGCCAAGTCCCGTAAACATTGGGGATGAGATTCATGCTTTGGGATTACCTACAATATACAAAATGAGAGATCCATAGAGACCCACTTGATATCCCGGTCATGTCCATTATCTATTGGTCAAATTGCTATGAAATCATCGTTTTGATCTATCCCTGGTAAATATCCTTACTATAGTTGACTTATCCCAGACATCAACCAGATTGCTCGTGCTTTTCTTAACATTCCTTAACCCTCTGGTCATCAAACGTGGCAATTCAACATCTTAATCTTTGATGGAGTTTACCCTCTGGTAAACTAACATAACTATGGAAAATCACCATGTTTAGTGGGAAAATCAACTATAAATGGCAATTTTCAATAGCTATGTTTGTTTACCAGAGGGTAACAGTTTAACAGTGTTTAAACACGTAAGAACCGCCTATAACTGGCCACGTTTGATGACTCCGGGCCAAGGCCTCAGGCCATGAATGCTCAGGCATCATAGCCATCGCCCTTGATGAACGCCACCAACTCCTGGTGCCGTTTTGACGTCTGGAAACATCCCATGGGGATCTAAGGAACGATCATTGCGGTCTAAATCAACAATTTTTCGTGGTATTCATACGGGAAATATCATGGAAATGTCATGGGATATACAACCCCATCAGTTTGTTGCATGGTGGTATCTCAAAATGGGGATAAACCGACAGTTATTGGCAAAGAGGGCGGTTCTCATCCAAAAAGGAGTTGGGAGTACCCAAATTTCCCACATGGTGTTTCATCCCAATAAAATAAACATCAATTCAGCCAGAAATTCAGCCAATTCATAGGGGATGAAGATCCATTGATCAGCTGGGGCTCACCAGGGTAAAATCAGCCACTAAATCGTATGACCGATGCAAAACATTAATACACCTAATTCAGTTATAATCATATACCAACTGGCAGAAAAAATGTGGTAAAAAGTTGGACTGCCACAAGTGTGCAGGACTAAGGGTTACCCGATCTTCTTTAAGTTCCGAAGGCCATTTCCACAAATGTCTCTGTAATCTTCTGTGGAGGAAGAAGGCACTACTTCTGGTGGTAGGGGAGTAAAGCAACCCGTCGAGCATTTCGTGCAATGGGAAATCTTGAGGTATGTGGGCCGACAAAGCTGGTGATCTTGAGTATCACAATGAACCAGCATTTCGGGAATTTGATCATTTTGACAAAGACCCAAGCAGTGCTTGCAGTGCTTGCAGTGCTCAAAACCGCTCTGTTATCTCTTGATCCGTTGGAAACTGCTATGCTAGGAATCGCCATACTGGACTAAACGCCAATTAACTAAATCAATAAAGCAGCTATAGTATATGGGGATTTCCCCAAAATATGGCCCAAACGAGTGCTTTTCCCATATTTACATCCCCTTTATAAGGCTTAAGACACCCCCCCGGTCACCGGCACCGTCCTCGATATCCACCGTGCCAGAGAAATCGGTGTCGACAATGGCGCACAAGGCGTGGATCTGATGATCCGGTACCACGTCGGGAGGGATCCTGACCAGTGGAGCCAGGGAGCACGGGGAAATGGCACCAAGAATCTAAGAAGAGGGCAGTATCATGTTGTATAGATGATTTTCCCAGCTAGAAACCTCCATTTATAGAGATTATAACCATGGTTAATGGTTATGTTAAATAACCAGATGGTAGTACTTACTCAGACTTGCTCCATCCATTCAAAATTATACTGATCCATGGGAATCCCCATCTTATGGTGTAATCCTCATATTCTAATATTGCTGATAGGAATGTTTATTAATGATCATCTGCAATTAGTATGTTAATAGTATTCATTTCCCCCTACATGTATAAGGATCAACCAACTGATTTTATTGGAATTGCTCACCATGAACCTATGCTTAAGCAATAGGAAACAGGGGGCGGCAATTCGGAGTAATTATGATAATCAATAAACATTCCTATCAGCAGTATGAATATGAGGATTACACCATAAGATGGGGATTCCCATGGATCAGTACAATTTTGAATGGATGGAGCAAGTCTGAGTAAGTACTACCATCTGGTTATTTAACATAACCATGTAAAATCTCTTTAAATGGAGGTTTCTAGCTGGGAAAATCATCTATAAATGGGCCATTTTCAATGGCTATGTTAAATAACCAGATGGTAATTATCATGCCAAACCTTTCTCTGGGATATCTCAGGTTAGCCTTGATCCAAAAGACTCACCTGAGCACCAAACAAAACACGTTTTTTTTTCAACCAAGATCTGTGGGTGTTTTACCCGGACGTAGAGTCGCGATTCTGATCACCAAACGGAAGCAACATGAATATTTTGACATGAATAATACTGACTAATCCTTGGTCCCTAATTTAGGGGTAATTACCCCATTTTCAAACATAACAAAACCATATCAGTCACTAGCTGCAACATATATTGCACATCAACTCACCCACATGGAGCATGACCAGTTGTTGTATCATCAGTTCATCCTGGGGAATTCCATTTTGATCTTTTCGAGATGCTTACGAATGAAAACGACTGTTCATCAGTTCATCCTCCATTCATGTCAAAATATGTCAAATCTCATGGCTTCTGTCTTTGGATTCACAAAAGGTAGACATGACTTTCGATAACGTTGCAGGTTCATGGCGAAACTTCGATATCCAACTCGTATCCTTCGAAGAAAAACAAAAATACTGGCAGAAGAAACAAATTAGTACATACAAAGTACTCATCCATCTAGTTTCGTTGAGTTGTCAATTTCTGGTTGGTGGTATACCTACGCCTCTGAAAAATATGAAAGTCAGTTGGGATGATGAAATTCCCAATATATGGAAAAATAAAAAAGGTTCCAAACCACCAACCAGTCATTTTTTTGCATTTTGAATATTTACATTTGTCTGGATAGACTATGATGATTCACTAAACTGCATCCAGTGACGCCGCAGTTTTCGGTCGCTACCAGGGATTCACCATTCGGGGTCCTCAGCACACGTCGTAGCGCTGCTTTCACCTGCGTTCAAATGGCAGAAGAGGTGAGGATGGACGATGGCCGTTTTGGCCATTTAATGATAAATTACTGGAATGTTAGTGTAGAAAATTGCGATTTAACCAAGAAAACATCTGGAGTTACAACGCTTACAACCATCTTATCCTGATTTTTTAAGGGATATTTCACCACCACTATTCACACATATTGTGATATTTGGATATATTTGGCATTATTTGGCTATGTCTGAAAATTGGCTATTCCCCCAAGTATTGCCAGTTTAATCGAGAACATGGTGATACCCGCATTTCCGGGGTTCTGTTGGTTCTGTTATATCCCCACATTTTGGGGATATGGCCCGATATGGCTATACCTTATTGTCACTGTCACTGCACTACATCCCATCATATCCCATCATATTTTCCCATGATTGGTTTAATGTGGTTTCATCCTCCTAGAATCTCCAGTTCGCACCTCGTTCACCTCCAACTCGCCAGAGCGATCCTAAGTCATGGGGGTACCCCAGATAGCCGTATGGATCTGTATGGTTTATAATGGTGTGAGGGTGATGATTTTTTATGGACAATCCTACGAAAATGGATGCTTTGGGGGGAGCCTCATTTTAGGAAGCCACCAGTTGGACTCAGTGTGATTTGAGTCGGATTTTTGAAGAATTCGTGGATGTGTTCTCGTTAGGCTTGATCGGCTTGGAACATTTAAAGGAAACTTGAAACCCGAGGCTTTTCTTACAACAACTTGTGCTTTCCTGTAAGGTTCTGGGATGTTCGGGAAAAGAACAGAAACACGTCGAACAACATGTAATAGTTGATACAAGTATATACAAGTAATGTCTTCTGTTCAGCGACGCAACGTGCAACAGCTAGCCTATCTAGAACATTCTAGAACAATGATAGGCCTTAAACTGATGGCCATATCTCATCCAAAGGTGGATTTACCGTGAAATATGTCGCGACGTAAAAAAAAAGATCCTGTAAGGAACAAGTGAGCCGCTTCAAACAACCTACTGTATTTTTTCATCTTGGTGGTTGAAGATTATGGGAGGTAATACTAACCACACACATATATATATATATGTATCTATATATATATATTATATATATTGCGGAGTATCATAATCATTCATAATCCATGAACTGGGAATCCAAGTGAACACAAACCATGATTTTGGATGATTTTGGCATGTCATCCCCAAAGGCAACCTACTGGCCCTACGATCACATCGTCTCCAAGTCCGCCAATGTTTTTGTATCCCATAGGATCCACGGTGCTGCTATATATGCAAACATAAATGGGGTATATTGATGGGATCCATGTTACCATATATAGCAGCACCATGGATCCGTCATGGGTATGTTTCTATACTTCGTCCGAAATCTCAGAGATGAAATCAAAGAACTCCCCATCCTAGTTCCGCAGTTCCACATAGTTCCACATAGCTGGTGGTATACCTACCCCTCTGAAAAAGTCAGTTGGGATGATAACATTCCCAACTGAATGGAAAAAAAACATGTTCCAAACCACCAACCAGTTCACTTCATACCCCTGCCTTGTCAAGCCGTCGGAAGAGCAATGCCAAATCGACACCTTCAAAGCCGACGTACCTAGGACCGATGCGGTGACTGCTGCACTGACTGGGGATACGAGTACCTTCTGGATGGGTTTAATCATGGTTTAATGACGGTATAAAATGATGATTCAATGATGGTTTCTCATGATGTTTGATGATGGTTCAATGATGAGGGTTTAAATATGGTTTCATGATATTGAATGAGGCGTAGTATAATCTGCTGAACAAGAACTAATGTTGGGGGTTCTTGCTTTAAAGCTGATCGGGTATAGTACGGTATAGCCCAATTCACTGTCAGTGAAGCCGCTAAACCGAATTCCGTCAAACCTTTAGATGGGGCTTATCTAACCGATAAAGATAAGCGCATTAGGCTTGGCTGTCTAAAAAGAACCGCGCAGATATCGACCAATTGTAAAGGAAAATAAGGAAGTGTAACTGGGTACAAACACATGTGGGTATGGATCAATACCTATTAATACCATTTTTAGGGGAATGAACATCCATTTACCAGCTATTTTGATGTTCACCAGGGGTACAAGGTTTTGATCCATCCCCATGTTACAAATCTTACCCCTAGGATCCCTAGGGATTGACTTGGATGCTGGGTCTGCATTGGAATCAAACGGGCAATAAAAAAGTGATTCAGAAGGATGTTTGACCAGCAGATTTCTCAAGCCACCAAGAAATGGGATTCATACAAATACTTAAATGGTTTAAATATAGTTGGTTACTTATCTGGCTGGTGGTTGACCTACCTCCATTTATAAATGGATGATGTGGATGGTTTATAGTGGAAAATACCATTGAATTTTGGATGACGACTGGGAAATACTGGTTGGTGGTATACCGACCCCTCTGAAAAATGATGGAGTGAAAGTCAGTTGGGATGAAATTCCCATATGGAAAGTCATAAAAGCCATGTTCCAAACCACCAACCAGAATATGATGTTGTGCCAAATATGATGCAAAGCACTAGAACATGCTTATTTTTTTGTTTCTCCCCAGTGGTGTTCAGGTAACTGGCTCGTGATAGTTGAAGTCAGGGGTGCGACTTCAAACATCTGCTGTGCACCATGGAAGCCGTTTTTGCCATACGTCATGGAAGCCATAGGAACTGACCAATCTGTTTTTGGAATAGCAATCACCGAGATTTCCCACGAATTTCTCAAGCAATTTTATCAGATGCTCCATGGTGCTGGTATATTTACCTACATGACTGGGTGATTTTGAGGGCAAATGTTGGTAAATATTCCATACATGGAGCATCTGGGATCTGGTTTTTCAGCCCGGTTTTTGGTGTCTTTTTTTGCGAGCTGCGCTGCTCTCAAGATGCAGTTCTTGATCTTCTGCACTGTCTGGGATGCAACAGGAGGACTTGAACCAGTCAGAAACCCTGGAATGTCCCACCAGGTGTTGACTATCGTCATGAATCTAGCTTAAACCCTCTATGAATAGAATCCTACAATGGAAACAAAGACAAACTCAAGAATCTTAAGTATCAGTCATAATTCCATGATGTTTCAACAAAAACTACCATCGAAACTTTCAGAATTTGCAAAAAAAAACAGGAAACAAAAACCACACCTTTGCGTCCAAAGGTGGTGGCGTTGGGAGGCCTCGTTTCTTCCTCTCCTGGAAGTTGGGATCAGGCTGGGACGACCATCTACAAGTGGCACTTGGAAATCCACCTAAAATAATTCTGGGAGAATCATCCGCAAATATGATAGATACACAACCTTCTTAAACTGTTACCTTATTATAGCAAGGCATGTGCTAAAAATCAATGTTCAACGTCGGATTTTTTGAGCCACCCATATGCGAAAAATGGGTCGATGGGTCGGAATGACCGTCTCAGCAAGACACAGCAACGAAGCCACTAAGCAACTATTGAAGGTATCACCCTATGTATCACATGATCATCCCCAGCTAAAAGCTACAACAGTTTCGTTGGTTCTACCGAAAAACCCCTCTGGTAATCCAACATAGCTATGGAAAAGGGCCCATTTGCGGATGTTTTACCTATAGACAATGTTGCTTTACATAGCTATCTACCCGAGGGTAAACATTGTTGGTAAAATCCACTTTCCCATTCTCATTTGGAGTCCGTAGACCTGGTCACTACACCATCCCGAACCCTTGGCTGTGCCATCGCCATCTGTGGTCATCTGCCCTCCTCTGCAACTTTTTGGGCCAAATGGACCTTGCTGGCGCCACTTCAAAGCACACAATGTGATCAAGCATGATCGCGCAGCGGCCCAGAAATAGACAGAAAAGGGAAGCCTGTGATTTTTTTACTGGGCAAATGGGTAAGCCTTGCTTGGGTAGATTGACGAGTGTTATGGATAGCCATGGATAGCTATAGATGGCTATGGATAGCTATGGATAGGGGGACAAGACGACTCTGAGAATTAGACATGTTTGATCAATCATTTTTGCAGGGTAACCATTCTCTTCCATGTATAGGAAAGGCGAGAAAAACCGTTTCCTTTTTTTGGGGATTTCCTGGCAGAACCCGAAAACGTTTGTCCACCTTTTGTTGGTCAAGTTCCCCAGGCTCGACCATGGGACCCATTTGGGGTCCAACAATTGTGGTATACCCCAGAATTGATATTCAAATGGCATAATCATGGGGAATTCATGGTGAATAATTATTCACTGATCCCCGATCCTGGGTCATCAAGTACAGTAGTGCCCATTGAGGTGTGGTGATCGAAATCGTCCATTTGCGCCTAGTGGCTAGTACATCCCTAAGGCATGCAGATTCATTCACCAACCAAATTGAGGTTTACCATGTTTTATCTGCTTAAAACTGCTGTAGATATGTCAAGATATGTCTTTCATATTCTGCATGACCCAAACATCACATAGATCCAAGATTATCCAGTCATGACACCCGAAAATCCAAAGTGTTCTCCAAATTGTGGATTCCCCACATCTAAACAGCATCATCTATTTTTTTTTTTACACACCCCGCCATGATAGAAGGCCATTGTATATAACAAAGGAGAAACGCTGCAACACCCCGCATTTACAGATGATTTCCCCAGGTCCAATTCCAATCTTCCAACTGCTGCACTGCTGAGGGCCCAACTTTCATCTGAGCCTTGAGTCGCTTCAACCGGGACACCTGGCGACAGTAGAGTTAGCGCTGAAAAGGATGTCTCCAGCAGTTCGCCTGCCATGTCTATTTGAAAAAATGAAGGCATTGGCTGTACCTACAATATTCTGAAATCAATTCTCACAACTCTAAAAATGACCACAAATGAAAAAAACAAACTTCGGACTCCAATTGTTGGTGCAGCAAAATGTGGAGTGATTCACCCAAAATAGCACTACAATGCTGGTTGAAAAACCGCACAGGACTTTGCATTGAAGCACCTAAGATGGGCCGATACGCAAGAGGCATGAACAATCATGAACATTTTAAAAGGAAAAACACATGATTTCGTCAACAATGACCAACAAAGATGGGGCCTTAATCACCAAAAACATGTTTATAATCAATATAATCAATCAAGAGTGTAAAAGAGGATGATCATCGGTTGAAGTAGCGACACATCTCCAGTATTCGGTTGGCACCATCCAAAAGAACGGCATTAACAGAGACTAAGTCTTATGGAAATCATGAAGTGGGAAGAAGATCTACTATAAATTAAAATATCTATAATCATCTACTATGAACATCTGTCATCATAAAGTTGCTGCTTGTTTTTTCTTTTTTTTTTCTGAGGTGCAACATGGACCCACTTGCCAGGCAGTGTCCATGGGTGTCCTGCTTAAATCGCCATGTCTGTTGGTTAGCATCCCCAACATGAGCGGTTGAAACGACAAACGGCGATTCCCAACAGATTATGTGGGACAATCATTCAAACAAAAAACATGGTTGAATCATCTTAGATCATGTTCGCACCATTTAACATCTCACTTTTTCAGTTTTGTGGTGCTTTATCTGGGGTTTCCATAAATGGGCGTATTCCCCAATGGAGGGTTTATAATGGAAAATCCGAACATACCCTCTGGTAATTTAACAAAGCTATTGCCCATTTATAGTTGATTTACCTATGAAACATGGTGATTCTCCAGTTCGTAAACTGTCTGTTTCGCAGAGGGTAACATGATTTTTCACCATTACTGATAGAGATATGATGGCGGTTTAACCATTGTTTTACCCACAAAAACATGGGAATCTACACACACATGGATGATGCTGTCTGTGGGGACTCCCATCTACTTCACCTCCTTCCGCAGGGCGTCAATCTCTCGCTGCTCTCGGGCTGCGTCCTGGTGGAGGTACATCTTGGCGACTACTGAGGTCCGTTTACCAAGGTTTACCCATTTCATTCATGGGCGACAAAAACTCATGTTCCTCTTTGTTGCCACAGATCCTATGTTCCTTTTTCTCCGTCACTAAGATGGGGCACCAATAAAGTAAAGTTCTTTTAACCGTGGTTTATCACCATGTTCACCACCCCATAGGATCCATGGTGCTGCTATATATGGTGCTCCATGGATCCCATCAATATACCCCCTTTATGTTGGTATATATACCAGCACCATGGATCCGTCATGGGCACCATTTTATGCGATCAGCACCCAACTTTCAGATCAACTCATGGATTCCCTGTATCCGATGACCTGGCCTCAAGGGAGTCGATTCCCGCGCGGTCAAACATCTCCTTTCATCAGCCGGTAAAGGTGGGGACTTCCGAGCAGTGAAACTGGTTAGAGTGGCTGCTACACAAGATAATATATTTAAACACACACATATATTCATATATATATATACATATGTATATATGTATATATATATGATAATATTATGATATATACTATATATATAATGACATCATGAAGAACCCCCTCAAAGACATGAGAAAGAGTGCAATTCCTCAATCCTCAAACAAATGGAACATGTTTAAAAGAGTTTCCGGAAATTGTATCATTTGTCACCAAACCAATTTGTTGGGCCGTCAGGATTGAGCCTTTGGATCTTAGCGGCCCAGTTAGCAAACAGGTCCTTTGAAACTATTCAGATCAATGTCACGCCCAACTGGTCGCGTCCAAAAACGGCCAACTGGCCGTTGTAGTCCATGTGTCACGCAAACCGGTCCAACGGGTTTTTTGGGGATCGGATCATATCCTTTTTTTGTATGGTATCTTAGAGGCTCAATGGCATGGTGAGCCACAGAAAAAATGGACGCCACAGAAATATTGGCAGAATGGGACTGGACCAATTGACAAAGTGACGAATGTGAGTATAGTAAAGTTAGTTCAGAACCCATCCATATTTTGATGGTTTAGAGATGACCCATCAAAATAGTTATGGGGATGGTGGATCCTATTGCTTTACCCGACCCGTTCCTCCCTGAAGTCATCCAGTCCCAGATGTCCTGTTCCAAGAGCCACCTGCCCGCGACACTGACAGGAAGCTGGGAGGGCCGCATGACTCAGAGCACAACAAGGAGATTTCTGTAGGATGTCAGGGGGTATAATTTAGGATGGTTAATAATGGTAAATAGTGGTAAATAATGGTTAATAATGGTTGTGGTTGATAATGGTTAATAAATATCTGGTTGGTGGTTTTAGCAATCTTGAAAAATATGAGTTCGTCAATGGGAAGGAGTATCCCATATATGACATGAAACATAATAAATGTTTGAAACCACCAACCAGTATAGATAAAAAAAATGAATGATAAAATGATAGAATACACAACCAACTGTATTTGGGCCTGTCTCAAAATGGCGGTTACCCCAATCATGTGGCCATTGGAATGGAAGTACAATGATAAACCATGAGATAGATGGGGTCGACTGTTTACCACTTCAACCTAGCATCCATGCTGTTGATAGCAGAATGGCAGTGCTCATCCAACTTCTGGAGGTTTCAAATGGAGAATTTGTGGCTGCACTTCGATAAATCACCTACCATGACCTACCATGGCTGGATGATTCATATCCGATCCCAATGCTTAACAAAAATGTTGTTCTTCCCCATAGGATCCATGGTGCTGGTATATATGCTAACATTTGGGGTATATTCATGGGATCCATGTTACCATATATATATATAGCAGCACCATGGATCCTATGGGTTCATGAATTCACCACAGAAAATTCCTCATGGATCCTCACCTGAGCATAAACTTTGGTGGATCCTCAGGGCAAACCGTCAGCAAACTCATCACCATCTCCTGCCCGGAGACGCCAAGTTTGGGGTTTATCATCCCGGCGCATTTGAGAAATTCGAGGTCCTGAAGAAAGTAGACATATTCACGAAAAATGGTGTGAAGTGGATATGAGCTCTATGAGCCATTGATCCAAAATGATACAAATATATGGGCTATATAGCAATCCAAATGGATATATAGTGGATAGATATTCTATGCCATCGAATATGAGCTACGGCAAAGAACCCAAATGGTCCAAATCCTTCTCTGGCTGACAGCTACGCTGTCCCCTGCTTCCACACAGAGATAGTTCATTGTATGATGATAACGATGGACAATAATGATTTATCATCAATAACACGAATCAACAGTAATTACAATAATCGAGAATCAACAGTAACCAGTAGTAATGACTATATGAAAGCTCATACATATATATATACACATGTATATATATATATACACATGTCTATATATATATCATTATATATCATAATCCTCCAGACATATATGAGGCCCTTAGCTCCGAAAGAAAAAAAACGATTTCACGATTTCGCAACGTCCTGCAGCACAGGATTCACCTTCTCCTGGGATGACCACAATGGATCAACGTTAAGATGGACTTTAAGATGGAGCTATAAATCCAACAAACTCAAAAAACACTCAATGTATACTATATATATATATACTCCATAAACTGGAAAATGATATACGTATAGTTGGAAAATCCATAAACTGGAAAGATATATATATATACATATAATTATATATATATGTATTATAATTTTGTATATACATAACTCCATCTCAATCTCTATGGGATAAATGACCATAAACATCCATAAACCACATACCCTCCGGTGTCATCAAATATGGCTGGACAATTTTAGAACTAGATGGAGGTTTAAATGGGAAAATCGTCAAACTAAATGGTGGATTTTCCAGCACTCCACGTTTGATGACACTGAAGGGTACATGCTTCATGGCCATCTATCCCATATTGGGAGTCCTTATAATTTATAATGGGCATATAAATTAATCATATGAATCCCTATAAAGATGGATTCATGAC